AATTGGTATATGCTGTAAATACATCACCTTTCTCTAATCAGTTAGGGCAAAACGAAAGAAGACCAAGGCTTACATGAACGCTGCGCTGAATTAGCAGGCCACATTTAACCCATGCCAGGTAGGCACAAACAAGTATCTCCACAGCAGTGGTTCTTGTAATGGATAACTGGCACTTGCTACTCACACAAGCCAGCAGGGTGATGATCCACCGGCACAGTGAATGAGTCACCAAAGGCTTCAACAGACAGATGGAGTGAGCCAGGTGCCAGAGAGGTGTTAAACCTCAGTGAAGCTCTTCAAAGACTGTAAAAACCCTCTCCAATGAGCTCAACTATACCTCCTTTCACAGAGCCTGTTCAAGGCGAGAATGTTGCACGTTTATTCTGTCTTACCCTCCCGTATAATGTTGTCCCAGCAATAAGACAGCAATAAGACAGCGTAATGAAGGGGCTTCTTAACGGCAATATAGCAGGATCTTTGTTTAAAAGGGGCTAATGTCTCCATGCAGTGTGGTAAATCCTCAAGAGCAGCAATCAGACCAATCAAAACAATCCAAAAATGAGCATCGTCTTCTTCAATGAGATGCATGAATGGTCTCTACAAGGCCACCTAATCTGAACAGCACTTCATGCACGCGAATCTGGTCATGGAGGGCGTTCTTCCTCTGGGTGCAGGAAGAAGGATAAGACAATAGAACCAGAGAGGACTACATAGTAAAATTCAGCAGTGTAAAGAGAGAGAATGAGATAGGTGGGCAGAAAGACATACGGTAAGGATAGACACACAAAAAGCCTGTAATAAAAATAACTGCGAGGATCAAAAGAATTGACTTTGAGCAGAAGGAAAAGAAAAAGACCAAAATACAAAGAAAAAGTACCAACTGAGAGAAAAGGCATTCTCGGATCACAGCAGTGTGGGTCTGCAGCGCTTAGGATAATGAGCCAGAAAAAGCTACGGGAGATGTTCGGAGTGAAACGAGGAGGAACAGAGAGAAGAGGGAGAAGATGGAGAAAAACATGGCTCTGTAAGTGGCTCACAATATAGTGCCAGTTAGCTGCTGTCTCCTGAGAGAGGAACACATGGAGCAGAGGGAAGAAGGAAGAACGCTGGGAAAAGAAAATGATGGGGAGAGGAGACAAACGTAGAGGAAGGGAGAGGAAAGGGGAAAATCGAAGACGGGGAGAAAGAGATGCGCAGGATAAAGAAGCCCATGTACAAATAACGCCACAAATAATTAATTTGCCAAATAAAATTAAACTGGTCAATAATAATTGATTTCACACAGCGGAGAGCAACTCAGTATGACAGCATTAACTTTGACAGTTATTGTAACTGATTCCTTGGGTGTGTCCAATCAATTCAGCTTGTGACAAGTTCTACACACGTCAAGAATAATTAAAGCCAAACAAGCAAAGGAATCACCTGACCACACTTTTACTTTCTTAACTTTTCATTCATTTGCAAAAAATCCTAAAAACATGTTTTTGTTTTGTCATTATGGATTTGTTGAGTATAGATGGATAAGGCAAAATGGCAAATTTTATCCAGTTAGAATCAAATCTACAACGTAATAAAATGTGCAAAAAGTGAAGGGGGTCTGGGGACTTCCTGAAGCCACTGTATTTTCTCATTCGGCAGGTACAACTTGTCCAATATGTGAGGCTTGCGTTTGATTTTGCATACATCCTTTAGTGAAAAAAAAAAAAAAAAATGAAGCTCTGAGTCAGACAGCCATTGTGGGATTGGCCTAGAGACTTTTTAGTTCTGCTTGGCTGGACGTCCCTCATCCTTTAGGGATCCTTATTTCTCTTCTAAGTGTTCTGAGATTGTACGTTTTTAAAAGGCACATGCTTTTGGCTGCCCTGTAAAAACAGAGAGGTTCTGGCATTTAGATAACAAAACTGTTTGGGCTGGTGACAGAAAGACAAAGTGTGTGTGTGTGTGTGTGGGGGGAAGGGGGTCGTCCCACTGACCCAGTTGTCTAAGACATCGGCGTAACATCTCTGCTTTGAGTCCAGCCACAGACTGTTACATATTAAGATATATGCTATATGTATATCATATATATGTATTTGACATAATATCATATTGGTTTGGGCAGCACAGTGGTTAGCACTGTAGCCTCACAGGGAGAAGGTTCTGGGTTTGAACCCCAGGCCTGGGGCCTTTCTGTGTGGAGTATGCGTGTTCTCCCTGTGCCTGTGTGGGTTCTCTCCAGGTACTCCGGCTTCCTCCCACAGTCTAAAGACATGCACATTAAGTTAATTGGCAACTCTGAAGTGCTCATATGTGCGCATGTGTGCGCAAGGGGTTGTTTGTCTGTCCGGGATGTACCTTGCCCTCACCCAGTGTCAGCTGGGATTGGCTCCAGCACCCCCGCGGCCCTACAAGGATAAACAGTTTAGATAATGGATGGATGGATGGATTATATTGGTTTAGCAAAGGTGTTGTTATATCACAAGGAAAACAACAACCAACATAAAACAATAACCACCATTTATGTATGTTTTTTGTTTTGTTGTTGTTTTGTTTAAACTTTTTAACTGTGGACCTCAGTAGTGCTGTTGTATTATTATTATTTTTTAAATTATTTTTTTTTAAATTATAAGTCAAGACATAACATAACAAATTTGCAAGAAAAGGTAAAATTAACTGAGGCACAGACAAGACAATTTAAAAAAAGGGCAGGAACAACATTATCCTAACAGATGCATATAATCATATTGGTTAGAGGTATATTAAAGCAGGCTGTAGATGATCACAGCAAAACAGGTTCTGTTGCATTTATTTATATAATATTTATCATCAAGTTTAAATTCTATTATATCTCATCATATTCTTTAAAAAAACGTAGACATAGGTGCCGTATCTGCTATTGAGCAAAGAGCCAGTCGATAATCATGTGTAGTCCCTATGTGTGGACCAGATCTCTCATGTGTTGCCATTGTCATCACTTGGTATCATATCCAACACATTAACATGCCTTATTAGTTGAGTAAAGACTCCCAAACTATTTTGAAGGTTTCACTTTTCCTTTTCAGAATCAAGGTTATCTTCTTCTTCAAAAAAAAACAACAATTACTCATTTCTCTAAGCCAATGGCCCACCTGAGGTCTTTGAGTGTTCTTTGAAGATAAGGTGATCAAACACTTTTGGCCTTGGTAGTGCTACTTTAGGTGTATTTTGGTCTTTACTGGACTCGGTATTGACACAACCTTTACGAATTGTGCATGGCTTCAAAGCTTAAGTCTCCTGCTTCTATCTGTGAAAAAGCACTTCAGGATGCCCATATCACTGCAACAGCTGTTGACACAGAATTGTTTCAGACTTACGGCTGTAGCCCCGAAGTGTTTTCCACATAAAAAGGTAACTACTACAGGCCCTATGTTCAGCTTGGTTCAGTATCTCGTCTACTCATTGTGACATTTTGGTTGTAAAATTTAAAGTGTTACCTTTCAAATGAGATCAGGGTTATGACTACCACTGTGATTTTGGTAATCAAAAAGTCTGAAGAAAAGTAACCTTATAATTTATTGGTACATTATTTTGGCCCTCATGCAAAAAAGTGGGGGTGCCTGGTAACTGCTTAATACAAAAGAATAACAGAGAGTGCATAAGCATTTGGGAAGAAGATGTTGTTCTGATGGAGCTAAAATCAGCTGTAAAAACCCAAAAGATCAAGAAAAGGAAAAATCAAGGCCTACATATATCTGTTGTTCTGTTATAATATAACATACTGTATATTATAATTTATACAACAGTTAGTTTCAATCACGTAATTTGATTGGACGAGTGGCATTCTATGAGCGCTGATATAGAGTACACAGCACTGGGACTTTTAACTACATGTATCACTCCGCTTCACAGGTGTTCTATTAAGAGTTAATCGGCGCTACATTAACGGTCGTTATCTATCTTAGATTGTAACAAACTATTTCCAGAAATAACATTTGAATTAAATGATGTGTGGTCATCAGAAGAGGATGAAGGAAGAACCCTGAATTCTTCGGCACACACCTAAAGGTAACGTCTAGACAAAGTAGCAAGCTACTGTGCACTGTGCACGACAGGAAAATGTTTGTGTTGCTTAGCAACAGTTCAGTACCAGTCCAGTTGTGGAACTATTTGTGTTGGCATTACGAAATAAATGATGAAATAAACAAACACATCATAATCTGTTGTTGCTTATTACTTTTAACTAGTATGGTGCGCACAGAACTGTTGTATAAAAGCAATATCACACTCAAGGTCGTGATGTTGTACTGAATATCAGCACAGCTGTGATTTGATCATAGGTACCAGGCTGCAGGCCGGGTAGCAAAGACAATCACTGCCATATAATATAATATAATAACCTCAATAATATCTCCCTAGAAACAAATGCAAAATTTCAAACAGATTATATTCAGAAGTTTCTGAGTTTGAGTAGTTTCAGAAGCTGTGCCTGTGTGAAATATACTGGTTGTGGATGGGAGACACCAGGCATGGTAGGCAAAGATGTTGCATCTCTGCCAATTCATGCTTATTCAGCCAGGTATTTTAAGAAATTACTCTTGTCACCTATTTGTACATCCATGAGAGCATACGTATGCTCAACAAATTTCCAAGCAATCTGCTCATTAGAGAAGAAGACACCTTGATACTGTATGAGCTGTCCCTTAAAGTTCACGCTCTGAACAACATGAAGGTTCCCAGACAATTTCATGGTGCTCTAGCCATAAGATTTTGACATTTCTTGTGCACTAGTGATTTTGGCCAGAGGACAGCAATAGAGGAAAGGTCAAGGTCACCAAAAAAGCATTAGGGTTCATTCTCTGAGGAATATCTGGTAAATTGACCAATGAACACACCGACTAAAACAAAATCCTTAAGCTCTGCCACCAGGGAGTGAGAAATAGTTGAACAAAGATGGTAAGATTTGAGATGATGAAGAAGAACCTGTGAGGAACAAAATACAGTGGGAAATCAAGGTCCAAGGTCTTTAGTGTTTATAGACTCACGCTGTAGAGGATGTCCACCCAGCCCTCCATAGTGATGCACTGGAACACAGTCAGCACTGCAAACAGGATGTTGTCGAAGTTGGTGATACCAAAGTTGGGTCCAGTCCAATACTCTCTACACTGGGTCCCATTGGGACACGTCCTGGCTGGGGGCTCCTGACCACAAGGCCAGTTGGCTACTCTCTCACCTGAGCAAAAGAAAAATAAGAGAAAAAGGGGAGTGAGTTTTGAAAAGAATATTTCTGTTATCAGTTGAACTTTTTTACATAACACTGTTATTAAAGTATCAGATGAGAATAATGCAGAGATCTCAAAGTGATCACACAGATTACAGCAATGTCTTCATATACGTTGAAAACCATTGCCCCCTAATGCTCATACATTTTATCAATGCATACTTTTTTGTTATGTGGGTCAGAAGTGCAGCAGGGACAGTGGAGCAGCCAGATGTCACTTTCCCCTGTAACTTCCTCCAGCTGCCTCACACTGTTCCAATGTGTCCCATTATCTCCGAACAATCAGTCACGACTTCTAAAGAGAAACTCACAGGGGATATTCCTCACAGGTGCTCTGCCCACTTCAACTGATACCTCTCAACGAAGACCACTGACCTCCTAACCTTTTCATGCACAGTGAGGCTGCGGCCTGATTCTGTCAGTCATTACACAACACTAGTGACCACAGGTGAAGGTCGGTACAACGATCGACTGTCAGCAGCATGCTCCAACAGAGCGGCACTGCGATCACAGCCGAGTTACCCAACCAGCAACCAATGTCACAGCCCTTCTTCTCCACACAGGAAATCTGGAAGTTTCGTCAGATCTCCCCTTTACCCTGGTTCGGATTTGATTTCTATTGTTCTCTGTACGGTTAAGAAAAGTTCTCTGAAAATCATTTTCATCCTTGCTCGGCAGGTGATACTAATTCAATGTTCCAGGTTCTTTAAGATGGGGCTAGCAGTGCTGCAGAAACTGAAAGACTGTGGTGAAAAAGATGAAAATGATTCAAGTGATTCAATGCACTGTTAAGGTTTTATATGGACATGTTTGGACCACAAGTTATTACAATGAAAAGTCAGCCTCAGTACTGGATGTCCTAATATTCATGCCACTGTCCCCCCGGCTCAAACAAACTGAGATCTCTTTCGTGGTCACAGTGTATCTCACATCTTTCATTCAAACCAGTGGATCATGCAGCCGCCAACAGACCACAGACCACTCTGGTTTAAAGGGCCTGAGTCAGACCATGATGTAAGTGATGCTTATTGGTCTTTACTCGCACACCTCACTGTGACGAAATCCAGTCCTGATGTTACTCGTACAGACGCACCATCATACCGGATGTTAACTTCATGTGAAAATGTAAGTCAAGACATCCACATTTAAATACTACACCACACTACAACAGGTCTTTGGAAGTATTACGTAATAACACGGATGGGAAGCATCAGAATCGTACGTCTTCAAGCTTATCAATTCCTTTTATCGATGCCGACATGTTTTTCCGACAGTTAGAGCTGGGTGGCCCTATATGTGCAATATGCAAGTTACTTAGGCCCTCGCAGATTATTCCAGGGCCCCGCCCCTGCTTACCTCCGATGCGGGTATCAGTGTTCACTACTTCGATGCGAGGATAAAGTGGAACTATCGTTTTGATCATAAAAAGAGAAAAAAACTCACCTTGAGAGTGAGTTGTGGGAACAGCAATCAGGCAAACTTGTTATCTCTGCTCTGAGTTTGATGTCAGTAAATAACAGTAGTGTAACATTAAGTGCTATCTTGCAGTGCATCTCTCTGTAGTCTGTCTGTCTTGCTAACCTAACTGGGCAGTGCAGCTCTCGGTCTGTCGTGCTCAGCAGCCACTCCCCGGGTTGTTCTGTGACTTTGTGCCTGACAACAGTGAGAGTGAAATACAACTATTTATTACGTTTGATAAACCGGCAACTATGTTTATAAACCGCGGCTCGGAAAAGATAACTGTGTTGCGCGAGAACATGTGTTCGAAACAAAATGAAACTTGCGCTTCCCAGCAGCAACCTCTGTGGGGGACGATATATGGCACACATAAATTTTAAAACAAAACTCTGTACTAATAAATGCCAAAAGCATTTGCACTATTTGATGATGCTTTCTATCATCACATATACTACTCTTTCTGTAAAGTCAAATTCATGACTTTGCATTGAGACATTAATCAAAGCACTATTTTATGATTGCAAAGTCATTGTGTGAGCAGCTATACTCACATTGAAAATGAGTGCTCACAGAGAGGGCTAGAGGCTAAGGAAAATAATTTCAAGTCATTTCTACCTTTTCTAACAACCTGACTTAGTGTTTACGAGAAGCCAAGACAGAAAGAAAACCATGTGTTTTCAGGTTTAGGCGTCAAAGTGTGTATGTGGTCCAACTAATCAAGGCGAGTCCTACCATATATGCGCTTCAGTTTTCAGGCTTGTGAAGTGACAAAGAGATGATATAGTACCAGAATACATGGAGGCTGCCGAGAGTTTGTTTAAAGAATGTGACGGCACATATGTCAGCAGATGGGGATCAGAATAAAGAATAAATGTGCTGAGTATAACAGATGCCTTGTGCAACCAGCGTTTCATAAGGGGCAGTGCCTCGATCAGAGGCTGTGCCAAGTTTTAACGATGATTTGCAGAGCCAGACTGCACAGCCAACATCTCTCTGGTGTCACTCCAGTAAGACGCGTCCTTTCCTTCTTACTGACAGGTGCTGTGTCAGCCGGACTCTTTCAGGATAATATGGGAACATCTCTCTGTTTTCTTGTACTGGGTGCAGCTCTTTCATGAAATTAGACAATTTGCAAAAAAAATAAGTACAGCTCATTATTCGAATTACATGTAATTTTTTTCAAATAACATCTGTGTTATTTTTCTTTATTTTCATTTAAAAAACAAATATGTTACCATTGAGGACATATTTGATCGTGCTATGCACTTTTAAAAGTCACACTGATGACAATGTTAAACATGCTGCCATCAAACTTCACGTACATGTGAACAAATTTATGAGACTAGTCATGAATATTTTAGTGAACCATTATGAGTTACAGAATTTCAATGCAATGAGCAGTGGAAATGGGACATTGATAAATTGAAAGCAGCTGTAATTCAAATACTCATCTGTTAACATAAATTTAGTGAAGACTACAGGAAATCTTAAATCATTTCAATCATTTCAGACTTTGTGGAGCTTGTTTATAATCTCATTAATGCCACAATAGAAATAATCCAAATTAGTCCTTGTGTGTATTTGACAAGCCAGTGCTCAAGTGAAGGGACACCTAATGAATATACACTAGGAAAAACATGCAGTCCTACTCAGACAAACATGGTCCTTACAGCACTCGTTCATACATACAGACAGATACAAAGATACAACATACTATAAAGATATATATATATATCTATATATATATATAGATATATATATGTGTATATGTGTGTATATGTGTACATATATATAGACACACACACATACAAAGAAAAAAAGAACACAGCAGTGGTCATGTACAAAGTTGTTACCAGTGCTGCTCAGTATAATCGAACCCTGCTGTGTGTCTGACTGAAATAACTCAGTAACACATGTACTGTACATTAGCAGGCTGTCACAACAGCTCACACCACTACGAGCACCCTGACTGGGTTGACACACACACAAACACACACACACACATAGACACACACACACACACACACACACACACACACACATTGATAGATGCACATATTTTACAGCTGGGCCAGCCAATAACCCTGAAGTCACACCTTCACACTCTATCTGACACCAGTGTTGGGGAAATAAAGCCTCATAATTTTCATCACTGCATTACACAATGGGTAATTTCAGTCAAGCAATCTGACTGTCTAAAGTATAACTACTATAATGCTGTAGTAAAAAATAACTAATAGGAGCCTGGCTGTGATTTATCTGAAATGTTTTTTACACACACACGCACGCACGCACGCACGCACACACACACACACACACACACACAGTATATATATCCTGCATTTAACCCTAACCCTAATCCTAACCCTATACTTTGCATGAAAGTTAACCTCACTACTTGTGCTGTTTCTGAAAACATCTTTCCAACCTGACAGGCAGCCATTGTTTTCAATCCATTCAGCCCCATGCACACTGCTCAAGGACAAAGAGAAATCCAAACCTCACCTTGTTGAAGTAACCAGGCTATGACTGGACAATCACTCTTCGAGACAGGGGTTAATCAAAAGCTTATAATGCTAAAATGACTCAGTGACATTTTGAGTACTGCTCTTTGTGTCACAGTTCTCATAGTGTCCTGATAAGTTCTTAGAAAACCTGCTGAAAGTCTAAGCACTAGAAAAATTCACATGAATCTATTTAAACCATAGACTGTAAATAAAGATGGATGTAGCCTTTGTGACATTTCTGAAAAGCGGTTATGAAGCTCAGAGTGGGCTGCTCTGCTGTTGCCATCTTGGCAATGTCTGACTCCACCTAATTCCCGGCTAATCCAAAAATATGCAAAGAGTTGGGGCGTGTGCGGAGCTCAGACTTTGGTGCATGCCGGTTCAGTATCTGTGGCAAACATACACTTAGCATATCTCTTAGCATCATTAGCACAGGTGGGCGTCAAAGGCTAACACAAGGCTAATTATCTAGTTAAAGAGCTAACCTAAGAAGTCAAATTAGCACAAACCCAGGAACGTACAAATTAGTACTCACCTCAAAAAACTTCCTCACATTCTGGTAGTCCATTAACCGCACAGTAAGTCATATTATTTGTCTGATATTTACATAAAAAATATTCCAAAAGGCAACCTAGCTAACAGCTAGCAGCTAGAAACAGAATGGCTAGCCAACTGTGATGGCATTCACCTGTCACCCAAAGCAGTAATGCAAAGTGTGATTTGTATTTAAAGATATTAAACTTACAAAAACACAGCTATAAATATAAGTTGCTCAGCAGCCACTCACACAGCAAAGAATGCCTTGTCAGGTTTTATTGCTGCCTCACTAACACACACTTCTGATGCAGCAGAAAGCGGGAACCAGCGAACTGCAACCTCATTAACGCCATCTGAGTTAGCATTCGATCAGGAGGCCAAGTACATAAGCATCTCTATTGAGTTACAGCAGAAGCTATCAATCAAAACCTGACGACTGTGAAAATTCCATTCATCAAAATCAAGATGTGAAAAACGGCCGTCAAAAATTCTGCTGTGCACTTGTTTGTTATGTTGATATAGGCACGCCGGCTGCCAGTTCTGCGAATGTGCAACTACTCATAAGCCACATGTACATACAGAACTTATGAATCATTTATGCACGCCTTCATAAATATGCAATGCAATATATGATCTCATCCGTAACAAATACAGGAACACAGCTGAAAGAAAAAAAAGTTTTCCTGGCGTCGACTCGGCTGATGATCAGTGTTGTCGTACAAACACAGGCCACAGCCAAGCTGTTGCTCTCACCAGTGTCGATCTTGAAGCAGGTGTTGTGGAATTTGCCCATGTAAAACTCCACCCCGATGATGGCAAACATGACAATGGCGAAGAAGAGCAGCAGGCCGATCTGAAGCAGAGGAACCATGGCTTTCATTATAGACTTCAACACCACCTGGAGACCTGAGAGACAGACAGAGGAGGGGTAGAGGGGAGGGAAGAAAGTCTAAGCACTTGCTTCTTCTTTTTTATTATTTTAGACATTATTTCTATTAATTATAATAAAACTCACCAGAGATTTTTATTCATCATTCAGACAATCAAAGACTAGTTTACGTCATATAATCTTAATCTTTTTCTACATACTGACCAATCAAAAGCAAGAGACATTAACTGTGATAATGGCCCATGTGGAGGCTTTAATAGGTGTAATCTTCGTGGCACTTTTCAAAACTATCTTACAAAGTGATAAAACATTTAAAAACAAACTACAAAAGCAAGAATGAAATCTCTTAAAATGATGGTAAGGTGACATACTTGGGATTCCTGATACGAGTTTCAGGGGTCTCAGCACTCTCACCGCTCGCAGTGTTCTCAGGTCAAAGTCTGAACCCACCGTGGCCAAGATTCTGTAAACACACAGACACAAACATGCAACAAGAACATTAAAAACCATTTATCTCCACACACTGTACAATATAAGTCTGCAACTAACCATTTCTGTTCTTATTATAAGGTGACGTCTTGCTTGTTTTGTCCGACCACCAGTGTTATAAAACAGAAAAAGCAACAAATCCTCACATTTGAGAGACTGGAACTAGTGAATACATGGTTCTCCTGCTACTCCTGCTTGACAAATGACTGAAAGAATTAATTGATAATGAAGATTGTTGCTGATTAATGATGATGAAGTGATCACAACTAGGCTGCAACCGGAGCTTCCATTTTCATTATTGCTTTATCTCCTGATTATCTTGTCTGAAAACTGTGAAAAATGTGCATTACTATTCAATTTACAGTAACCCAAGTCATTGTTGATTACTCTTCCATAAATTGCCAGATTGGTGATTTAATCACTGCAGCACTGACACAATGACTTTTTTTTTTTCATTTACGTTTAATCTGATGTTTATTTTTTTCCATTAATACATTTTTTATGTTCTATACATTTTCAAAAACTGGTGAGAGTCTCCCGGAGTGATGTCTTCAAACTAACTGATTTCTTTCTCTCCAAAACACAAATATATGCAGTTCATGATGATGTTAAACAGAGAAAATCATTTTAATAAGAGTGAAAACATAGTTTAGTGTTAGTCTCACACACACACAGCCTATAGGTTGGTCGCATATGTAGCTGATTACATCATGTGCTGTTTATCTCCGCTTTTACCTAGAAGTGGAGAAGTGACTGTGGCTGGTCCTTGTATGCATGCATGTGTGTGTGTGTGTGTGTGTGTGTGTGTGTGTGTGTGTGTGTGTGTGTGTGTGTGTGTGTGTGTGTGTGTGTGCATGTGCGTGTGCGTGTGCATGTGTGTGCTGGCCATTGAGCCACAGCTGGCAGCCCTCATTACAGGCTGTACACAGAGGGGGAGACTTAAGTGCTCCACTGAAACACACAGAAAAAAAAACATGCTCCAGGCTAAGGAGAGAGAGAGAGCGAGAGAAAAAGAGAAAGAAAGAGAGAGAGAGAGAGAGAGAGAGAGAGAGAGAGAGAGAGAGAGAAAGAGATATGCAGTTTATGCAGGAGAGAGGTCAAAAAGAAGGAGAGTAGGAGGACTATGAAAGTAAGAATTACTATAAAGACACAGAGGATAAGTGAACCAGCAGGAATGATATCAATTTGATCTGGAATCTAAGAGAGAGACATACCAATACATTCCCCACTTTGTGAGACCTTGTTTCATGGCTGTCGATTTAAACAGAGATGATGTGATATGTCTCTACCAACTTCCAGGGAAGCTAAACTATTCCTATCAACATTTTGTCTTGTAAACACAAGACGGAAACTGATTTCCAGTGTTTGGTTGTGCGCTACAGACGCTCTGTGGTGCAAGGTTGTTACATCAGTTTCTGTCAGCAGTTGCCTGAGAGAAATGACAGAGAAGAAACACTCCTGAGAAACTGAAACTGAACTGCCACTGAGTTTTCCCTTCACTATTTTTCATGCTGAAAACAATGGTGATGTGGGTCTGGACCCAGGATGAAGAAGCTGAGGCCAAGTCCTCAGTGCTGTGGTGTGGGACGTTTGAATAACCTGATGAGGACTTTATTTTAAACAATCATACATTACACAGTATGCTACACAGGGCGGGGTTTAACAGGGGAGGGTTTAAAAACTTTTCAATCGTGAGGCCAGAAAGGTGCACGGTTCTAAAGAAGGGAGGCTCATTGGAAAAATGTTTTAAGACTCAAATTAAAAGCCATAGAATAATAAACTGTACATTATTAATGGCTTCATTTTTATTGAATAAATAATTGCCAAATCCATGAATGGATAATGAACAATGGGCCTCTGGACAAAGACATGGGAAAGACCCCCCGCCCAGACTGAAAAATTAGACTAGAAATGACCCTCGTCTTTCTTTGTTAGTTGTTCTTCGTGCCTTTGTGGTCATTTTTTTTGTTGGCACTCTGCAGCGAGTTCTACCTTACATTTGTGTTGCAACCAACTTAGAAAAGAAAACTTCCATGTTTGCCTTGTTTTTTTATGCATTACAAAGTATAAATGATATTATTTATAACATCCCAAATGGGTCTGTTTTTTAAACCTCTCAGTTAAGCACTATAGGGAGTCCCAAAGCAGGTAGAAAATCCTCAAGGGTATAACAGCTTTTATGTAGAGGGAAGCGCACTGATGACTAACTGAAAGAAATTCTTCAAAACAAGTGCAAACACAAATACACACACAAACACAGACACACACACAGAGAAACAGTAGAAAACAAGAAAGGTCGCTTATTGCTCCCTGGTTACCAGTTGGCATGGTAACCGATAAAGCACATCTGTGCTTTATGGGAATTATCATTATGGGTGAAATCAGTCTTCTGGGATGAAAGTGTCTGTTTAGTAATAAGGAATATATTGTTTTATACATATTTCATGCTCAGGCTTTGCAGCTGATCAACTTCTGACAGTGATGGATTTCCAAATGATTTTCTCATTACGTTTCCCACGTGCACTTTATGATTTTTATTTATCATACTGTTTTATATATTTCAGGTTTATGTGGGAAGGCCAGATCAAAAAATATGCTGTGAGAAGTGAGAGATCAGAGCTGAGGGATGATGTAGAAGACGACATATTGATGAGGCCTGTGCTTAGAGCAAAAAGCCTCTTAACACCATTTATCTACAGTAATACCTGCACATCAGCACGCACATGCAGCCCTGCATTCAAACCTACAGTAACTTCACCGTCAAGAATAAAATGAGCACTGGAACATTCAAACCCAGTGTCTCTCCGTCTCTCTCCATGGTGCTGAACATGTAAACCCAGTCTCTCTCTCTGAGTCTCTCTACCTTGTGCTAAAACATTCGCTCACAGTGGCTGCATCTTAGTTCATGACTGTCCAGAGGCTGAATTCTCGTCATAACGGATCCATGAGTCTGTGCAAAATCAAAGGCTCGTCCAGATGTGGCTGAGGAACACACACACTTCTTCTGCACAAATTTGGAGGACACAAGTGTGTCTGTTGTAGATCTCAGTATCCCACAATCCACTGTGCCCCATCAATTGTGAAATGAAATGTTCAGCTAACCCTCACCAACCCATGGAAGCTGCAAATATCTTAGAATTACAGGGAAGTTTTTCATTATCTATATACATTATATATATGTAGGACTACATGTGACAACATGAGATGTATTGTGCAAATCGCTGCTCTTGAAAACACCAAATAGTGACTAAAAACCACTAATGATATATTACATTTTTCTCATTTGAGTCCAAACATTTCAATTTGATTCAAATAAAATCAATGACGACTGTGGAAATTCACAAACATGGTACACAGTGGAAAAGTAACAGAGGAATCTCACAACCCATTACCTATATATCAAAGCAGGATGAGCCTCCATTAACCAGACATGACAGAGCAGCTTCACCAAGTTCAACCCAAGAAAAGCAGATGAAAATTTTGTGCTCAACAAGCCTAAAAATGATGAAACAAGCTCCACACTATATGTGTGCACTGGTGCAACAGATAGAGAGGGGGACGAGTTAACAATTCAACGAGCTGTTAAATGATACAGGCAGGCTCCTACATCTGTAACAGTGAAGTATGTGTAGGTAACAATTTTTTTTTTTTGCCAATTCACCATTCATCAGCAAGAAAAAGAAATTCAACAATCGCTGAGCTCCTGAAAAAAACTACAAGATACACAATTTACCAACTCAGTTTTGCAGTTCTTCACTTTTCAACTCTTCACAGAGGTCAGAGGCCATCCTATGTCAGCTCTAATTAGACTAATGACTGTCAACCACACATCATGCGATGCCCAGGTGGTGGTCCTTATTTGGACCAAGCTTATAACCCACCATCTAAACCGGGAAATAAAGATGATAGGATTTAGGTAAAGAAACAGCATAGAAGGAATTAAAAGCAGTGCTGTTATTTCTAGGATTTGATGACAACAAACAAAATTCAAACTCATAAAGCTAAAGATAACTTTTATTTTCTCAGGTCTTTAATGATACACAAACAGTCTCTCTTGGTCTCTCTCCATGTTTCTGAAACATGGCAATTAAATATTTCTCCTGATGGGCCATTTTATGACCCACCACTACTGCTTCTTAAACCACTGCTACCACCAATACTGCCACGATTAGTACCGTGCGACTGTAGACTGCACACCCAATCATAGTGTACAACCTCGTAACCACACTGAATCACCATGGAAACCACCTTATAGACTCCAGTAACCACCCAGATTGACCATAGTAACCACGGTATATACCCTAGCAACAACCTTGCAACTATTTGAAAACACCCTAACAACCAATCAGAGTAACTATTTGAGTCACCTTAATACACCGAATTGCCAAACACCTGCCAGCCTACATCTGCTAACAATTACAACACATTAGAATCCTAAAAAATGTTAGTGTTCTGTGTATGACGTTAATGGACAAACGAGAAGCACACAAGAATAGTCTATTCACAGTAAATAAAGCCATTGTGACCTGAAGACACAGAATGAAAAGCGGATATAAAAACATGAATCATCCCTCTTTTAATGCCCTCCACAATCAATAACTCACTTTGTTTTGCTAAGTGCACACATGTATGTGTGTCTGTGTGTGTGCATTTGCCTGTGAAGGGATGATTTGATGACTGTGTAGACAGACGGTCGGGCAGGGAGCAGGCACAAGAAGAAGCTATGAGTTTTAATATCCCTTTATCATCACCACAATATATCCATGTGGGCGCCAGACACTGGCACAGGAAATACGGAGGGTGATGCTATCGTCTGTCACTTGCTCACATACACCCCACACACACACACACACACACACACACACACACACACACACACACACACACACACACAGAGCTGTATTGTCGCACACAGGTATCATGTAAGTATGTTCAAGCAGGAGTCTGAGAATAGAGAGGAAAACTAGACAAACA